CACACACTCTCACACACACACACACACACACACACACTGGAGAGAAACTTAGCGCATATGTGAATGTCAGTTTCCTTTTAATCAAATATAAATCGAGCAAGACGTCATCTCATCCCCTCAGCGCCTGTTGATCTCTATCTGTCTGTTCTCTTCTGCTATCATTACTTCTCTCTCTCTCTCTCTCTCTCTCTCTCTCTCTCTCTCTCTCTCTCTCTCTCTCTCTCTCTCTCTCTCTCTCTCTCTCTCTCTCTCTCTCTCTCTCTCTCTCTCTCTCGTCCTCTCTCTCTCTCTCTCTCTCTCTCTCTCTCTCTCTCTCTCTCTCTCTCTCTCTCCCTCTCTCACTGTTGACTGCTGGTGTCTCGCTCTCTCTCTCTCTGTCTGTCTACAGGTGTTTTCCCAGATTGTTCAGTGACTCAGCGATCGCAGCTGAATACAGATGAGCAGCACAGTCATCCGTCCAATCAGAACGCAGCAAAATGAGACAGATGGACACGTGTGCATGTATTCATAGATGTGAACACAAACACTCTCATTTAATGCTCAAATGCTGAAAATAAACCAGCCTGAGGTGGTTGCAGGTCTTAGCTGGTGCATTTATTTGATCGAAAATGCTGTAAAAAAATTTTTAATATTATTAAAATTTAAAACAGCCATTTTCTATGTGAATATCAGTTAAACTGTAATTTATTTCTGTGATGCGCAGCTGTATTTCCAGCATCATTACTCCAGTCTTCAGTGTCCCATGATCTTCAGAAATCATTCTAATATGCTGATTTGCTGCTCAAGAAACATTTCTGATTATTATCAATGTTGGAAACTGTGATACATTTTATTTTTCAGGATTCACAGATGAATAGAAAGTTCAAAAGAACAGCATTTATTTGAAATAGAAAACATTTGTAACATTATCAATGTCTTTACTGTCCCTTTTGATCAGTTTAATGCATCCTTGATGAATAAAAGTATTCATTTCTTTAAAAAAAAAAAAAAAAAAAAAACGGCTACACATTTTTCAATGTTTTCAATTTTCAGTGTAAGTAAAAATGCAATTAAATTGTAAAATAGCAGTTGTTTATAAGTCAATTAAATGCTCTTTTTATATCCAGTTGAAATAATACCCACAAAACTAAATGATATCAATGCATTTTAAATACAGCAAAGCCAGGTTACATTATATTGAGCGGGAAATGCTTTAAAAAGATTCTCTGGAGGAGTCTGTGAATTACACACAGGCCTGTATTTAGGTCGACCCGAGAAAAAACACTGCAAACTCACCGTCAAGTAGGTCACGGATTTTATCCATGTAGATTTCAAAATAGGAAACCTTGAGAGAGAAACAAGGACAGCTAATGAGGTGGAATTATCTGAAAGCATTTCATTTCTTCACACAAAATCAGAATGATCTGTAAGTATAAACGTCTATAACGTGCTGTTATTTTCACCTTAATGTGGAACTCGAGGTTTTCGTCCATGGTGTAAATGTGGTTAAAAATGTCTTCAGCGATCCTCGGGATGATTCCCCTTCCGTCAGGATCGTGCAGTTTCCCCTGAGAGACAGAAAGCAGTCGGTACACGTTTTATTTAATGTGAACATTCTGCTAAACGTCTTCTTTTGTGTTCCAGGGAATTAAGCGAGTTTTACAGTTTTGGAGCAACATGAGGGTGAGTAAATGATGACTAAATCTTAATTTCTGAGCGAATTGTTCTTTAATAATGAGCACAGAGCAGTGTAGAGAGCTGTTTTACCTCCATAGTGTAGGTTTTACCAGATGACGTCTGTCCGTACGCAAAGATGGTGCCGTTATAACCGTCCAGAACATCTGTAGAGAGAGAAACACTAAATCAACATGGAAAAGTGCTAGAAGTTTCATTGCATCACCATCAGTGCTTAGAAACAATGTGGATTTACTTTTAAATTGTAACATGTTTATATATAAGTGTAGCCTGCGCAGGACGATGATACAAAGTATCATCAATGTGTTCTAGGAAATAAATAGATACATTTGCTGATTTAGTTGTTATAGCACAAAAAGTAAAATATTAAAAGAAGCCTTCATGAATAAACTTTTGCAGAATGTATGAATGACTTCTGATATAATTATTATTATTTATATCTTTTTTAAAAGTGTCATTAATTAAAAATTCTAAAACAACTATTCTATTTAAAATTGTTTTTAAATATTTCATATTTTTTAAATTTGAATTTATAATTTAGTTGAATAATTGAAGACTAAAGTAAATGAGATTCATCTGAAAGGTAAAATTATTCTAAAATTGTTTAATTGCGCATATTTTAATTGAAGACATGTCATAATAGCAGCACTATGAATGCAAATTTCATGATTTTACTCAGTTTTAATGTCTGAAATGTGCATATAAATCTTGGAAATATTAAATAACAATCCCATTAATTTGTATTCAATTTAGTATTAAAAATCAAAAAGTATTAAATTAAACTCCAGCGGTCTAATTGTATAATTTCACGTCAAAATAGAAACTTTTATAACTTTTAAAAACGCTTACTGCACAAATATACTGCACAAATCCCTCATTAACAAACAGACACAAAAACCTTGATATTCAACACAATACAATTTTAACAAAAAATTAAATCAGTTAACCTCAAAACTCTTTCGACTGACTAAATCTGACAAATGTTGATATTCAGATAAAATGCAATGATCTTTATTTATAAGAAATAATGTGTCCTATACAATATTTTGACATTTTTTAAATATTGTTTTATAGAATTAATACCTATCTACACACTCACCTTTGACAATCTGTTTGGCACAGGTGTTGTACACCTGCTCCTGTGTGCAATTCGTGGGAAAGACTTTGTCAAAAACATACAGCTTCCCCTGTAAGACACAAACACATACAGTTATATACAGACAATTATATGTTCAGATTTGCCAGTTTAACCTTTAGAGCCACTATAAATATTCATTGGTACAGGTGGCCCCACCCCCGACTCACATCATTGGCTGAGAGATTCCACTCAACCAGTTTGGGGGCGGGGCTATCAGTTTGAAAACAATCACTGCAGTTTAAATATACAACACACACTTCCCATGAAATAATATGCAACATACAGAAGAACTGTCTGTTATAATTTAACATGAAAGCAATTAGAGGTGAAAAACATTAAGCTCTTCAGTCAGTGATTAGTCCCTCTTTGCTTTAATTGATCCTCAGAAGAGCATCAAAGTCTCCAGAGCAGACACACACACACACACATTATATGCAGTCAGTGTTTGTGATTTGCTTTCAGCTCTCAGAGAGCTCACTGCGGCGCAGTCCCTCGACGCGTCGTAAAATAGAGCGTCACGCTGACTGCTTTATGTCTGTGTGTGCTTGCAGGAATCGTAATGAGCGTCATAAAACGAGAGCACACAGTGTTTATGGTTGAAATCTGCGGCGATGAGATAATCAACACGTCCTCATGCGTGTGCATCTGTTTTTATAATATGACGACTGCCCAGAGTAACACAAGAAATGAAATTAAGAGCCGCAGCTGAGCGTGAAGGATTGTGGGATACGCTCTAATAGCTTTAGCCCAGCAGAGCTCTGCCATTAGCATTTCTCTCTGTAACAGCTTCATCCAAACATCCATGCGTTTCTCACACCGCTGCTGCGGCTCACACAGCACATATGTGACCCTGGAGCACAAAACCAGTCATAAGGGTCAATTTTGAAATTGAGATTTATACAATAAATACGCTTTCCGTTGATGTATGGTTTGTTAGGATAGGACAATATTTGGCTGAGATACAACTATTTGAAAATCTGGAATCTGAGGGTGCAAAAAAATCTAAATATTGAGAGAATCATCTTTAAAGTTGTCCAAATGAAGTTCTTAGCAATGCATATTACTAATCAAAAATTAAGTTTTGATATATTTACGGTAGGAAATTTACAAAATATCTTCATGGAACATGATCTTTACTTAATATCCTAATGATTTTTGGCATAAAAGAAAAAATGTGTTGAAATGTCAAGTTATCTTGTTGTGACTACCACAAAAACATTTCTTACAACATCCTACTAACTTCATTTTCTAACTAAAAAAAAACACATTATTTGAACATTTATTTGTAATATTCTGAGAAGTTAAAATGTCTAGTTTTCTTGTCGTGATTATAACGTTATTTAAAGGTTACAAAAGTGTTTCTGACAACATTCTAAAAACATTATTTTCACTAAAAATGTAACGTTACTTGAACAATTATTTTTAACTTTTCTAAGAATGCTAAAATGTCCAGTTTTCTTGTTGTGATTAGAACGTTACTTAAATGTTACAAAAAAGTTTCCTGGAACGTTCATCAAGTACAAATAACATCATAAGGACATTCAGACGTTGATCTCAGAACATTTTTTTCTCAACTTGATGAGACTGTATATCAAATATGAATAAAATCATAAGAATGCATATAAACTTTAAGAATGTTTTTTTCCTAACATTTATATAACTTAGTTATCTCCCAGCTAACAAAAATATGTTCTAGGAATATTTTGTTAACGTTCTCATTAAGTTATGAAAACATATCTCTGAATATCCAGCTTTAAAAACTTTTTTTGGTTATATGAACGATAAGGGAAAATTCCATTTTATAATTTTGCAAACATTATGGGAATGTTACATTTGAATGTTCTCTGTTTTATCATTTAAAAAATGTTTTGTCCAACTAAAACATTTCAGAAATAAAACATTCCATAAACAATGTTTAAATAAATAAATAACATTTTAAGAACATTATTAAAGACCAGAAAACTCTGAATAATGTTCTGTTAATGTTACTGGAAGGACGTTTGTTAGCTGGACTGGTCTAATGTTCTCATAAAATTAAGGCAAAAAATATTATTTATACATCATTCATGGAACATTTTTTCCTGGAGTTTCATCTAATGCTTTTTAAATGTTGCAGTTCTTGGAACGTTCAGAGAACATTCAAAAGTAACATTCACGTAATGTTTGCAACAGGGCAAAATGGAATGTTCTTTTAACATTTGCATAACAAAAAAAATAAGTTATTAAAACATAAGAAAAACTTAATGGAAACGTTAGCGAAACATTCTTAGAAGATATTTTTGTTAACTGAGTAGAGTGACAGAAAGACAGATTCCCTGAAGAGACACGAGCAGAACCACAGAGCAGCGCAGACTGAACAGAAGTGAAAGGCAGAAAAGCGAGCAGTTGAAGGGAACGGTGCAGGGCAGATGTGAGATGAGGATGTGATCTGAATGTGTTCTGCAGGGACGTGAAGCATGATGCTGAACAAGAACACACACACACACATATATATCAGAATAACCGGCCGCGCTGGGAGCTGAAATACACACGGGATCAGAGCGAAGCAGATGCACCTGAACTCCAGCAACAAACCCCAGAGCGCTTCATTAGACGCAGAAACAGCGCTGGTGTTTGCATGAGCGAGTGGGAGGACATTAGTGCTTCTCATCCGCTTTTATTTCAGCATTCAGATTTACACTGACATCAGGTGACAGATGAACAACCTCTGACGTATATGAATTATCTTCTCCTCCCTTTTAAAGGATTATCTTCTCTAGCTCTGAATGGCTATATTTAGATATTTATTACATTTAGCATTTTCCCCTGCTGTCAGAATGGGCCTGTGACCCATTGATTTGACCAGTGCATTAACTAACAGTGACTACTGGACCTGGAGCCGGTTAAGTGTCGTCTACACGTGTGTGTGCATGTGCTCTTCCATGCACGCCTGCTAAAGAGCCCTGTGGCTTTGGCATGGAAATCAAGACTGATTCTAACAAGAAAGGCAGAGGCTGGAAGAGCTTTAAACTCAAGCTTTTTAATGGGAATAAAGCAGAAACTGCTCTAAAAATGTCACATTTGAATATTAATACAAACAGATTCACATTTTGAAATCCAAATGAAGTATTCATAAAAATTTCAGGAATTTAGAATGCTGATTATAAATGTAATGTGACACTTTAAAATAAAGCTATTTTCATAATTGAATCCTTATTAATCAATCATCACTATATTGATCCTATGATGTGAAACCTTTAGTTGAAGTGTTAAAGCTGAGTGTGTGCGTTTGTGCTCCAATTAAATTTTTGTATATGAAATGTATTATCATATGAAGTAAAAACTAATATTAAACCTATTAGAATTTGGAACAATTTCATATATTAGCATGTACAGACTATACAAATATGTCTGTATATTTATGAGCAATACATTTTTGGACATATATGTCATGTACATGTATGTGATCAATCCTATAAGTCGCCAATACATGTTGATATTATATAAGTAAAAACAAAAGATAACCATATTTAATTGAAATTTTTTTTTAATATGTAAATTTCTTTCAAAAACAAACATTTTTTGTGTGTGTATATATATATGTATATATGTTGTTTTAAAAAACTTTAAAAAATCATTGACATATTTGCTTACATAAAATATAAAAATCATCATATAGATATTAACATATGTACATATAAACACTATAAACATATTTTAGATATGTTATAATCTTCATCTATCCACAGAATGTACGTATGTGAAAATGATATCACCTTATAGGTAATATGTGAATATCACAGTACAATATATGCCATATATTGCATTTACATGCAGTGAAAAGACAATAATCCACGCCATAATTGTCTAACAAAAACATGTTTTCTTGCTTTGTAACTAGATGAATGGAATATGTCATGTGCAGACAGCTGCGTATCGAGCAGAGCTTGTTCTGAACTGCATTAGAGCGGCGCAGACAGCAGCAATATTGAGCTGAGATGCATTATGTGCTGCTGCTGTAAACAGATCCGTCTGCAAAGTAGCCCAAACTCTATATCTCTCTCTCTCTCTCACACACACACACACACACACACACACTCAATTTTCTGGTGCATTCTTATCTTTCGTCTTCATATCTCTGTCTTTCATTAAATCCTCCAGCGGTTTGTCTCTACAGAGGCTGCTGATTTAGTGTCAGAGCAACTATCACACGGACAGCAGAGATTTCTTAGATGAGGATGATGAAGGTCACTGACAAGTCTTGAGCTTTTATCAGATTCACTGAAAGTTAGAGATGGGAACAAAATAATGTGTAGATGCTTGTTAACGGCATCCGCTGGCTTGTGTTGAGCTTTGACAGCGTTTCTGCGGCGTAACAGAAGAGCTCATAATTAAGTCATTATGGGTTCCTACACTGAGAATAAATTAGAATATGCTTATCGGGAGTGTGCCACTGAAAATGATTTCAAACTGAAATCATTTACATTCTGGAGGCGTGTCACTTAAGGAATGGTTCGCCAAAAATTAAAATTTCCTGAAAATGTGCTGCTCATCCGAGATTAGGATGAGTTTGTTTCTTCATCAGGTTTGTAGAAATGTAGCACTGCATCAGTGTCTCAGCAATGGATGCTCTGCAGTGAATGGGTGCCGTCAGAATGAGAGTCCAAACAGCTGATAAAAACATCACAATAATCCACAAGTAATCCACAGCACTCCAGTCCATCAGTTAACATCTGGAGAAGAAAAAAGATGAAACAAATCCATCAAAAAGATGTTTTTAACTAAAATACGAGTCCATAATCCATAATAACTCTTCCTGCAGTGAAAAAGTGGAGAGAAATCTGCGCAGATCAAGCGCTGTTTGGACTCTCATTCTGACGGCAGCCATTCACTGCAGAGCATCCATTGCTGAGACACTGATGCAGTGCTACATTTCTACAAACCTGATGAAGAAACAAACTCATCTACATCTGGGATGGCCAGAGGGTGAGGACATTCTCAGCAGATTTTGGGTGAATCTACCAGAAATAGAAGCTAAACCACAGGCTGCAGCTGTAAACATAGCTATAA